AAATGTCATAGGACATTTAAACCTCAAGGAATAACAAATCATGTGAGATCATGCGCCAAAGAATGGTGTCAGAAGAATGGAATCAACAACTAGTATACAATGGAACGTCGAGAAAACGGAGGCTTAATGTTGGGATTAAAATGATAGATACCATCGAAACCAAGTCTGCCATAGCTTGGAGATAGTATCCTGATGATATATTCTCAACATTAAGACCTCCGACGAACGAATGGACAACTCACCGAACGAACAATTTCGCATTCTATTGAATGCATTACAACACTAACTCTCCTTATTTTCCTCTCTTTTTTTTTCTAATCTTTTTGTTTTTGTAATTGTCCCTACATTTTCTCCAATAATTGTACATTTTTGATCTTCACTCAATACTGAAAGGTAAGGGTATAATAAACTAAAACTAAACAATTTTCGATGAAATTTCAACATGAGAAAGGTTTCTGTAAAACACACTGGAGCCACCGTATAACCATGATTGAGAAGTCTATGAGTGAGTGTGCAGTTGAGTAAAATATCCGTAGGCGCCTTCATTAGGACACCAAAAGTTGCGGATTATTGTTCAAAAGATAAAATATAATTCAATAAAATTTTAGAATTCGATAGTTATCTGATGGAATATTTTTGTTATGGATGCAATTTGATTGTAGCGATAAGAAAAGATTTTTAAAATTCCCATGTGATAATTGAAATATTTGCTTCACACAATTCGTTTGCATAACATGTTTAAGGGATAATACACAACTTCCAAATTTCGAAAACAAATCGTGGCCCGCTTTGGTCGGCAAACCAGTAGATGAGGCCGTTGAAGAAATCAAACGAGAAAATCCAAGTAAGACGATATCTTAATGCTATCATAAGTTTTGCTTCACTAGATGAATAAGAAAACGAATTTCTCTTCATTAATACTATTAATATGTCATTTCAATTGTGTTTGTTCTTTTCGTATTACTTTAGGTTTCAACGTGGTGAAAGTTCAAGATAATTCACCTGTAACGTTAGATTTTGGATTCAATCGTGTTCGTGTTTTCTATAACGCACTTGGCAAAGTTTCACAGACTCCACATATTGGCTGAGCATCAGAACTATAATACGAACAACTATAAAAACTTCGATTTTTTTTCCATTTCTTAGTTAGCTGATGGACAATGACGATAAAATCAGTCAAGTAATCATTTTGTTACCAGTAAGAGCTATAGTTTTCAAGAATAAAGTAATGAATAAAATTAGAAAAGAACGAATGAGTCTATATTAAAAGTGTTTATCTATCATTCAATCAATTTGCTTACCGACCAATCTCATCGGTTCTCATCAGATATTTGAACACAAATTAATTTTAATCTTTTCAGATTTTAAAAATCGAGTGTACTCCCTATCGGCATTAATCAAATAAATACTAATTGTCATAAAGTTTTGTTCGCTAGCTGAACGAGTTTAGTGTAAGTCATGATGAGCACCAAAGATATCACCGAAACCGTAACAACAAAATCCAAATACCTCGTTCAACTCGAAAGATTTCTATGTATGAATTAAGTGATTGATATACACCACTATATCGTCACACTCTTACTCTCAACATGGATCAAGCAAAGAATATGTTTATTCTAGGTTTTTTTGTAATAATAAATCTTCAATAGATGGTGGGAAAAAGATTGCCATCGGCAAACAAATAATTCGCATATCATTGGAAATCTTTGTGTTTGAACAAGTTTTGAATTCAAACTCGCATTCTTATGATCCTTTATCAAATGCAGAAAACATTTTTTTCAGTGAAACCGTTGAAAGGCAGTCATTTCTGATTCTGCTCTCAAAAGAAGCATCTGTCTGATTAGGTGAAATCAGTAGCAATAGTGCATGCGATCAATTTTCCACATTTGTGACTTACATATTCCTCAGAAGGAGACTTCCTGAAATTTTGAGTCTATAGGAAATATTGCTGCACTAGTGTATACGAAAATAAGCAAAGAACCCCTGTTTTTGCTTTGCACGTCGTCTTCTATAACTTCCTTAACATTTATCACGTCTTTTTTATGGTACACTAGATCCTGAATAGTACTTTTAAGGAAAAACAATTTCAGCCAAATCGGTTTGACTAGGCTAGAGAACAGTAGACCTCAAATATATGCTCTACATGGGGTTCCCTTTTTATCGTGATTATTGCATACCAGTGATGATCCAATGGATAACAGAGAAATGGCAGTATTCTGAACATGCACATGCTATCGTGGGTATGAATACTCGAATGCAGTTCGGTGAGCTGACAACGACGCATTGATAAATAGAACACTCTCATCCTTCCCCTCACAATAGTATGTTGTCATTCAATGCTGTGAAAAATAGTAATACTTGCTTTTCTTCCTTGAGGCGCAGCACCGGAGAATTGATTTTAACTTTTTCAGAACGTACATGAAACCCTATTCCCCAGTTTTCTTTAACAAAACTGTTTCAACTAGAGGATGGATGTGGCGGTGAAATGTACTTTTGGATGAAGAAAGTACCTGCCAACCGCCAGGCACACGCGTACGTACCCGCATAGACAAATGCACAGCCAATGTAGAAAAACCAACCAATGGAATACAATCAGGCCTCATCATGATGTACTGCAAATTGATAAAGAAAAGGCAATGCTACTGAAAGGAGAAAAATGCTCTTATCTTTGCAGTCTGCAAGTCTGATTCACTTTTTTATAAATATGTGCATAAGGTTATCAGAGTTTAAAATGCTGAAAGCAATATATATATAAATAAGAAACTGACTACACAAGCCATTTTAACACAAACGTAGTAACACATCTATAAATTCTACATAAATCAAGAGAAAGTAAGAGAAAAACTGATACTTTTTTTGGACGGATACCACTGAAACATCTATTGAGACACATGTGAACAGAGACTCAGAGTTTTTATGATTTTCTTAATAAGCAGCGACCGTCAAAGTGCGAAAGGTGTACACCCTCCCAATAAGTGAAAATTTTGGACTTTTTAGCTACGAAAAAATAGGAGGGTTCTTTTTACTAACTGCAGTATAGGCTGTTGGAGAAAAATAATCCTAGAAGTGAGTTTTTTCAGACCCTACTGTGTCATATTCTTAAAAATTTTTCGCCTCGCGAATCAGCTTATATCAGAAAGTTTTCATTAAATGAACGGTTTACATTTCAGTTTTCCATATGAAATACATTGTCAAGTTCCGGTTCATATTTCAACATAAATAACGGTTGAAATTGTAACCGCTTTCGACGGCTGAATATGTAAAATAAATACTTTTCTCTATTATCTCTTGTAAAACTGACTTCTTATTTCAATAAGATATATATTCTGTAGGGTTCTGCGCAAAATACGACTTTAAAAAATTGTCACCTACATCGGCATGTTCTTCTCAAACAAATGCTGAGTTGATAGCTTAAGCAAAGTCATTTTGTCGTCAGAAAATATTGATTTTCGCAAGCAAAAAAACATTTGTTGCTACGTGTTACTCTATTAAGTTACGTATGGAAAAAATGACGGAAAATGATTTTTGAACTTATGGCAAAAAATGTTTACCCCATCTCTGCATTTGCAGGTCGAGTGTTCTCCTATTAATCTTCAAGCGATTTTTCAACGTGCGCACTTCTGTCAAAAACTCTTGCTTACACCTCCCCCAATTCTAGAACCTTCTCGTAGCCACTGCTAATAAATGAGATTTTTTCTGAATGAAGATAAATCGAGCCGAACGCAAGGTATAAAGTCAAAATAGATTCTACGCCCGTGAAGGCTTTTTGGATATGTGGCATAGTATCACTGCCAAAGTGGCAACCCTCCACTTGTCTATGGTTTTAACAGGTTGGTGATTCTCTGCAGTTATCTACCTGGAAATTCATCTATATATCGTCATCAATCATGCAGATTATTCTCATATTCACTCGTAAGTTTCACGCAATATAGTTTACAGTGCGCCTTCAAGTGATTTTCAGTTAGTATATGGTACTGTTGCTGGCCATTGACATGGACCAAAATTAGTCCTTGCGCGAAGTGGAACACATCAAGTATCACAGTACTAGGTAGGGGAGCAGAACATGTATCTGACAGCTCCCGTGTTGAACTTCGTTTACCTTGAAGTATCTTTTTCCACAACAAATCAAACACATTATATGTGGCTGACGTTGGACAAATTCAAATATTTCCATTAAATGATTTATCGGCCATAGAAAGCACCTTAACAACGAAGTCACTTGTACAAACGATTTTTGTGGATGGCGATGATGATGGTCCAACATTATACGCCGCCGTACTTGATTTCGATGGTGATGGCGTCGAAAAATGGGCTTATGGAGCATCAAACGGAGTGCAAGTGGGTGATGAATGTCAAAATTGTAGAGGTGTTTGGGTTGATCAAGAGAAAAATGTCTACATGGCTGAGTTTTTGCGACATCGTGTAGTAAAATGGTCGCCTCAGACAAATACTACGGCAATTGTGGCCGGTCGAACGAACGAAAGTGGATCGACAGCCGAATATCTCTTATTGCCCTATGACATCTATGTCGATGCAACAGGAAATGCAGTCTATGTAGCTGATAGCGGTAATAATAGGATTCAAAAGTGGACGAAAGGTGCTCGAGAAGGGATAACAGTCTCTGGACCAAGTAAGATTACTGAAGATGATACTGGTGCATGGTTTAATCCAACTAGTATATGGATTGATGAAGAAACTCGTGTTATATTTATTGCTGATAGAGTTTACAATCGAATACGACGACGGTTACCTAACGCACCAATAGGAGAAACCATTGCTTGTGGCTTTGATATGTGCAGACAAGTTTTTATCTCATCAAAGAAAGATGATCTTTAGTAGTTTTCGATTCAAACGAGTTATCTAGGCTATCATGCTGAGAGAGTACACAATAAATAGTTAAAATTGAGAACGAAGAAGTGGCAAAACAAAACTTTATGAAGATGAACTCATTTTGACATATGTTGCTTTTGAAGAATGTTTCTTCTTCTTTTTATTATGATGATCATCAACAGGTTTCGGCAATGCGACGAATCAAATCGCCGAACCAATGGATTTTGCATTTGACGACGAGGTCAACCTATATGTATGTGATATGTTTAACAATCGAATTCAAATGTTTGCTCTTATTGACAATCAAGAATGTCCTCCAACATCGACAGGTAATGGTTTTCAATTCTTAAACATTTATTTATAACTTTTATCAATCTCTATTCTTTGTTCTACTCATTAGGAAGCTCATCGACGCACACGTAAGTAGAAAGCAAAAGTACAGACGTATACAACAAGAAAATCTATGTCGTAGAATGATGCTAATAGCGGCAACATCTATCATATTACAATGGATCGGTATGCAACAATTTTAACATCATCGATTCGCTGATCTGCATCTATTAAAATAAAAGCCCGTGAATATTTTTTTTAAATATATTATTTGTATTTTGGCATTGCACTCATTATTACCTTCATGATAAAACAAGCAGTTTCAAAAAAGGACTTTCAGGATACTCTTTCTTCAGTGCGTGGGTTTTCTTCCCCAAAGCTCAACGAAAAATTTTGAAACATTTGATTCAAGCAAATCTAATCTAGTAAATAGAGTAAACACCGCACATTCAATTGACTAATCCGTAGGATTAAGTCATTGCATTATTAGCAACAACATAACGTTGAATGATCTTCGAGATCAGTGATCGAATATAGCGGTGCAAGTACGTATTAGCCTATATAAGTTGAAAAAAGCAATGACGAAAGACGTTGATGATAGTTCAGGGTGTGGTTGGGTGTGCGTGTGCATGTGAGTGTATATGTACTAAAAGGTTCAAACCTACACCCACACCCTCACTTAAGTATTCATCCAGCTTCAAAAAGTTGTATATTTTCAATTAATGATGACTATCACCGCAATATCGTAGATTTTTTTTTATTAATCTCGATTTTTGGAAGCATACTACAATTCGCATGATTCAATGAAGTCACTGAGACAAAGAACTTGAATCGGGAATAACCTTTACAGTTACAAAATCTGATGCATCAATGAAACAGTAGTCGTTGTTTTTCACACAATAAAGAAGAATCTAAACAAAATTTGAAAATAAATCAATGTTATGAATAAAAATATTGATTTTGAATAACATTTGAGCATGTGTGAGTGTAACAAAAGACTCGCAAAGAATGCGATGAGTCAATGTTTTTTTACCATTCGTACTGACAAGACTTGTTTGAATAAGCAAATTCAGAAGTGAAATCAAAGCAAACGTTAAAGTCAGATAGAGCAAATGAAACTTCATTAGGAATTAGTGAAAGAATAAAATGCAAAAGCATTTCTGTCGATCTATAATCACTAGAACGATATTTAAACTTAGAAAATATCGACATGAAATGAGCATTGATAGTGAATGTCCATAGAAGCCACTACTCTTTCGTGTGGGTGTGGGTGTGTGGATGTGGGTGTGGGTGTGGGTGGGTGTGGATGTGGGTGTGGGTGTGGGTGGGTGGGGATGTGGGTGGGGGGGGGGGGGTGGGGTGGGTGTGGTGGT